TAGACAATTTAGTTAGCAATAAAATAAAAATGAAGCATTTTTAATCATTTATAATGCACCAGGCGCTCTGTAACCTCTTATTTACAATACATTGCAAGTTTTCAACCAACAACAACTAAGACACGCAGACCGAGTTATAAATCTCCTTAAAATATTTTTTTATATGAATGTTGAAAACTTATATTACTCTCCAAAGTTGACGTTTTCTTCATCAAGAATTATAGAAAATTACATCCACGAATAACTATAGGTTAGATCGTAGGAGTAGGAGACGGGGGGGGGGGGTCAAGGGGGGCAATTGCCCTAAACATTCTGGCCCAAATAGTTTTCTGGCCAAAAATCACTCAAAATATTCAGGCAAAAGCTTTGTAGGTATCTATAAGTTATATATTTGGAAACTGATTGTGCCTCTTCAGAAAATATTTTACTCCCACGTGACATTTTCACTTGCACCTTTTTAACCCTTTAGCGCCGTATGGTTCCGCATGGAAGTCACTGGAACCATGTTTTTTCTCAATCGACTTTAAACCTTACAGCACATGCTTTTAAGGTCGATTTTATATTTTCGGGCAAAACTTGCTTACCCCCCCCCCGGTCAAAATCAAGCCCCTGCGCCTATTGTTTAGATTGTAGTAAATTTAACGTGTCTCCCAATATACTTATGGACCTGAAACGCTAAAATACGGAGTTCGATCCCCCGTGGTGAACAAAGCACAGATAGTTTTGCGCTAAACCTAACAAACAAAAATTAAACGTTGAAAAAGGAATATAATTCAATTACCACCTAACGACGTATTCCGAGACAAGTTTCAAAATTATTTCACTTTTCAAATTGCCTATGCATTACATGCTAACAAGCCAATTATATCTTATGAAACATACATGGAACTGATCTACTTTCATAATCAGACAAGAAGTGTTTAAAAGCCCAATATCTCGGTATACAACATGTGTAGTGGCTTGAGTAAACAATATATCGTTAAATTATACACACGTTGAAGGACCACAGGTTATATTAAAAAAGAAGGAATGTCCCATTGGATCAAAATATATGTATATGTTATTAAGTTTTTTGAATCGTTTAAAGGTAAAAAAAAAGTAATAAAAAACTGCACTAGTAAGATCCATTTTATCGTACAGTAATCTGTAACATTTCCTGCATGACCAGCAAAAAAGTGCTGAAGGCTAAAGCACCGGTAATGGCGCTGTGCCCTTTGGTTGTTTGTAATTAAGCACAAAGCTACACAATGGGCTACCTGTGCTCTGCCCACCACGGGTATCGAAACCCGGATTCTAGCGTTGTAAGTCCGCAGACATACCGCTGTGCCACTGACACTCTTTAAATTATATGGAACCCAGATAGAAACCATGGTTATTGGCGTTTAATAATACTACTGAATTAAAGTATTCGTTCGTGGGTGTAAAAACCATGACCAATAATAGCAGTTTTGGGAATTGCTTAAATATCACAAAAAATGATAGTTTAATATATTCCGATTCTTAGTTAGTGACATTAAAATAGGAGAGAAAAACCAGTAGTAGAAACACGTGGTGATAGCACGACATTTGAAAAAGATAAAATAAATCTATGTGTACAGTTATGATTTTTTATATCAGCTGAAAAGAACAATTAAAATGTGTAGGAAGGTTTTTTCCCCCCTTTCAAACAAAATCTCTCTTACAGACAGGGGAAAAAAACCAATCACAATTCAGAAGTTCATTGTTTCTTCATTTGTCCACCACAATGACAAACCTTCTATTATTTAACAAACAAATGCAACAACGAGGGATCTTTTGGACATACATGTGTTTTGCGTGTAGGCGTTTGGTGTGCATTTAAATACCAATTCAAATAATTTATATTTTAAGTCAAATAGTCACGTGGACCTAAAGGTGAATGCAAGCAAAACGATACTGAAAAGTTTTAGTGTGAGATTGTTTGTTTGTTATTAAGCACAATGCTACAAAATGGATTATTTGTGCTGTGTCCACCATTTGTATCGAAACTCGGTTTTTGGCATTATAAACTTTTAAATTTACCACTGAGCCTCTTGGGGGGAGAGATCTCATTTTTAAGGTTTCACTGACAGAAGTATTAAGTAAGTTTTCTTTATAACTTATGGATCTTACTATTAGCAATTTTTTAAAGTAAATATCATGAGTTTAAAAAACACACGTTATTTTAAAAGTAATACGAGCATATTGATATTACTGATAACCCAATTATATTTTATTTTCGAACATTGATGCAAATAGAAATTATTATAAAGCATCACAAAAAGCGAAAACACACGTTTTTAGGGGGGGGGGGACGAAAAAAAGCGTGGCACATTTAGCAGTTAGTTATGAACTGAATACAAACAAACACACACAAACTGTCATAGAAATAATGACAGATGTTTCCGTGGATGAGGAATTTCGTTCTCAAAATGTTCACAGAAATGAAAAAGGACTCCCCAAGGGTCTCGAAAAGTATTGTGGGAGAGATTCTAATCATTGTCTGACCCCCTAGTGACAAACATAATGGATAGAAATCGTTGGTTCGTTTCGTAAATGTCAATTGTACTTTTAAAACCAAATGCTTGACGAGTGCTTATGTCCGTTTCACGGAGGGTGCAGTACATACATCTTGAGAGTGTACAACAAAGGCCAGGAACAGATAATTCAAGTGAAAATTGTCCTGGTAAAGCATGTTTTAGCTGAAATTGTGTATATATCTAAAGACCTCCTTAAAACGCCATAAGCGTAATGCTTCAAGAGTGTATTGAGAGTCGGAGGAACACCGACTGGCTTGGATGTCAATATATATATATATATACGTGCAACGGAATAACTGATAGTCTTTGAAAATTTCAAGATTAGCAAGCAACTTCAGAACGAAAACATCTACCTCATATTTGATACAGAAGATTATCAACTTACTGTCTTCCGTTTTCAAACAAAATTTGACTGATCACGTTTATTGTGTGTGCGCGCGTGCGCGAAAGCGCTATTAACTTACCGAAACCAAAAATATAAATATACGATATTTCGAACTTAGCGGTGCTTTGAATGTTTATATATAAATTTATTTATTACGTACGCTCAATAAGATTATATATTTATAATTATTCATAAACAATATCAGCAAAACATAAATATTCAGATGGATTTTGGTTAACTTCTAAACCAATACGAAATTTGAGGTGATTATAAGATTCGGAATAAAAATTCATCATGTTTATTAAAATTCATAAGGCCAATTTTATATAATAATGCAATTAACGATACGTTGTGTGCTACTACTACTTAGTCAGTCATGTATGTACAGCTACTATCATTTACTGAAGCATAGTGCGATGTAGTTGTGATTTTTAATTTTTTTTTCCCTATGAGTTTTCATAAAAGTGTTTAAGCATTTCAACTTAAAACGTATCTTTATCATATGCATTAAAGTCAATGTTTAGAAAGTTTTTAATGTACAAACTTTAACAAATAATTCATAATGAGTATGCGAACTGAATGTAGGTCCACCAGTTTTGACATTCTGCTATTAGATATTCATGTTAAGATACTTTTTATGTTTTATGTACACACCTCAATCAACGATGGTTTTGAAGGATAATGAGGTTATGACATTTTTAAAAGCCAAGAATTTTCATCATGAAATAGTTGTATAACGTTTCAATAGTTCTAGAGAATTTATCAAATAGGTATGGCCAGATATTCATGCCTCAGAGAAAATACAACCGTTTCAAAGAAAATTTTAAACACACTATTTCATTGAAACGGCTGGATTCATTTTGTGAAATAAATCAAAGGGCGTAAATTGAAGTTATTTACAACTGTACGTACTCTTATTTTTCAACACTTTAAAGTTCACTTAATAAACTACAAGAGGTTACTGTGCAAATTTTACTATTTTTGTATTTTACTTTTTACAGTTTCAGAAGTGATTATCGTTTTCGTATTATCATATCTCTTTCTTCTTCTCCGGAAAATCAACGCCTAATATCACGAATCTTGGTGTCTTAAATTTGTTTCTTTTAATTCAGATTACTCTGCGACAGATTTATCTTTATGTAGCGAATGTTAAAAGACCTGCGAATATTTGAAACATTGCAACAGAAAATAAGCTAATGCTGTCACAGCCTTCATGAATGCAGTAATCTAAAAATATTATGTATTTACTTACATCATGAAGTAAGTAAAACTTGATGTAATGGGAGATACAAAAATGGCGAGATGAGACATACACAATATAATTTAACATAATCGCTAGTCACTCACTGGCCTGAGGAAGACCGTGCTTATTTCGTGTAATTAATAATTATAATCGAATAATACAATACCATAATATTAATTGCGTTTTCATTTATACACAAGTGAGATACCGTACGAGGCAAAAACAAGCCGTAAGTCTACATTATTGCCCGATACGCTACTAAATTGTTAAATAAATGATAAAAGCTTTTAAGAACTCAATCACATAAATAATTCACATTATTTAATAAAATACTTTCTCAGTTTATGCATATCTGATATAATTAAATACCTTGAGGATACTCGTGGAAACATGAAACTCGGAGCTGAAATATTTGAACCTTTCTTCCTTCCCATATCAAGTCCACGACAGGCTAGCAACGGAAGTGATGAACACTTGCATAATAATGCCCATGTGGCACTTTTCTTTACATATCTTCTGAAGATTGAAAGTAAGTGATCTAGTTCTGTTTAAAAATCTGAATAGGCTCGTCAATTAACTAAGAAAAATTAATAAACATATACCCGTAGTGCTTTACTAATATAATAGGTTATCTGATAAAAGACTTTGAAAAGTCCAACAATATTTTGATTTCAAATTTTATCACCTGAGGAAAATCACATTCACTTGTCACACGTAACAAAAACGAATAACTAAATATTATTAAAACGCACACATTTTTTTTTTTTGATTTCAGAAGAAAAGAGTCACTACATAACAGTTGTATGATTTGATTCACTTTCTTTGTAAAATTACCTTATGCTGGGGTCAAGGAGAAAGCCATTGTCATTGGATGAGAAACTTTCTGACAAACTGGAAGATAAACAAGTGAGGGTACAAAATTCTCTTCTTTGGCCACTCCATCAGCTTGTGGTTGAGCCAAAAAGAAAGGTTGCATGATAAAAGTTCCAGTTTGAAGCTTCTGGGGCATAGCGTAGGTAAGAGGAACTTTATCAGATGTCTTTTTTTCCACATTTGATTGATTAGGAATGAATTTATCATCTCCATTTATTGGTCTAGTTCCAAGGTTACTTTCTGTCTTTTTTATCCCAGAATCTTGACTTAATGATGTACTTTCCACTGTAATTGATGGTTTATGTTTGTCTCTGTTGGGAACATCTATAATTTTTTTACATTTATTATTCTTAGATGCCATAGACACTTTTTTAACTCTTGCTTTATAGAGAAACATGTCAAATTTATGCCGTTTCAAGAACTTAGGAAAGCCCACATAATATTTTTTTCTGTTGTGAGCTGAATAAATGTGACATAAGCAGTGTTCTTTCGAACTAAATTTCTTGTTACATTTGCTACACCTATACTTCTTTGATTTGGACTTTTGGTGTTCAGTATGTTGGATTTTGCAACTTGAATTCTTTGTATTGCTACTAAGACAATCTTCCATGTTTGCAAGTGACACTGGATAATTCCAATAATCTGTTTTTTTATCCTTGTGTGCAGAATATTCATGTGATACATGATTAAGAAGGTGGTGTTGCAAGGATTGGTGGTTCTGGAAAGAACAATGACAAATTATGCATACATATTTCCCTAATGTTTCATTTCTAGTTAAGATATGCTTCTTCTCATTAACATGATAATTAGAGCTGCACCCAGAAGAGAAGTTAAAATGATAGGTTTTTGCTTCTGTTGACTGTTCCTTTTTTCTTTCCAATAGCATCTCATTTTTACACACTTTCTTGCTTGTGAATACATTGCTATCATTTATTTCAAGGTCACTACAGGTTTTTGACTCTTTAAAATATTTTCCAGTTTTGAAATGATGATTTTTAATGACATGGACTTGAAGATCAACCTTATCAGCAAAGGACTTTTCACAATAGGTACATATATTTTCTATACCATTTGACATTCTGTTTTGAAAACAAAGTAAACTTTCCTTAACAGTGTTGTTGTGATCATTAACAATATGCAACTTCAGCCACTTGGTGTCCTTAAACTTTCTGTCGCACAGAGGGCAGGTTTCCATACTATAAGGAATGTCTTTTTTGAAAGTTTTGTTTAATGGTATTTCTTTCATCTCCTTGGATGATGAATCTTCATAGATACCATGGGTGTTCTGTTTGTGAACTTTAAGAAAATATTTGCTGCAGAGCTCCTTTTGGCACACATCACAAGTCACTCCTCCAATGGTACTTATTTTGGCTGCCTCTATGGGCTGCTCAGTTAGATCAATGCCATGCATCTTTAACATGTGAGTCTTCATAAAGTACTTGTTGCATAGCTCTTTGTTACAAGCATTACAGTAATTGCTTCTAGTGTGTTTCTTGGGTACATTAGTATTTACAGAAGATGTGTTATTAATTTCTGGTATGTGAAGTGACTCTTGAACACCAGATTTTTCACATTTATTAATTGACTGTAGTTTCTCACTCTCATCATTTATAATAAAAGAAAGATTTTGCATATTTATAGGCAACAGACTGTTATCAGGAATACCAGAATGAGAAATAACACCTGTATTTGAAGAAGTATTGGAAAGGAATTTGAAAGAAGAATTTGACACTGAAGGATTATGGTTTTTATTAGTTCCACATAATTCTTTTTTAAGATTAACATTTCTGATGTCTTCATTATTCAGTTTGTCATTGTTCTTATTTTGATTGTAATATTCTTCATTAGTGCCATTTTTCGAATTATTTGAATTTCCAGTCACTGCATGAAGTCTTTCATAACTGAAACTAGTAACTTCTTCTTTTGGTTTGGAGATATTTTCTTTTTGTATTTGTGCTGACTTCTTATCAAGATTAACTGAACTGCTTTGGTGTTGGGCTTTCACACCTCCAGGATCAGAATTTATAATGATAGAAGCATGAAACTGAGGTATCTTAAGGAGAGAAGATATCGTTGAGATATCAGTTTCTCGTCCAGTGTTGTCATTATAACATTCTGTAATGTTGTTTTCATTAATTATTCTTTTTTCAAGAAAATCTTTTTTCTCACTTGAAAATGTTTCATAGAGACTAGGGCTTTTAGAAGCTGGATTTTCTAGTTGCATTGATATTTTTTCAACATCTGAAAAGTTAATCCCATGCTTCTTTTGTCTGTGAGTACGAAGAAAATATTTGTTGCAAAATTCTTTACAACAGATCTCACAAAAAGCATCAACATTGATGACTCCTATTTCTTTTAATTTTTCAGTGGTGAACAGTACCTTATCTTTTTCACACTCTGAATAACCTTTAGAACTGGAGACAGAAACAAAGTTATTATGATAACCTGATGACCCTAGCGTGGTAGTCACAACTGAGTCAACTTGTGGGCTGTGTAAGTCTGCCGATACTGCAATTTGTTGTTCAGTTTGGTCCAACTTAGCACCTTGTGGGAAATTATAAGATATTAACATATCTGATTTAGGTTCTATTGACTTTATCTCTAAAGTCTTATTTATTTTTTCAACTGTCAGGCTATTTGTAGGAGAGCTAGGAGAAGATGATTCAGGTGATGTAAATTTTGCATCACAGTAGCTTCCAGTAGTCAGGTTTGCTTGACTCGGATCTCCTATCCCATGCATTTTAAATTGGTGTTTTTTAAGAAAATACTTGTTACAAAATTCTTTTTCACATAATTGACAATAAGCTTCAGAATTCATGATGTCTTGAGATGAGTTTAGAATATTAGAAACATGAAAACGAGGTATTTTAAGAACAGAAGGAATGTTGGACACATCATTTGTCCATTCAGTAATAGACTCATCATAATCTTTCACAATCTTGCTTTCTAAAAGTGATTTTTCCACAGTGTTATCTTTGTTTTCAATTTTGAAAGTTTCAACAGAATTCTCTGAAAGTGTATTTCCAAGTTCCAAAGATTTACTTTCCCGACCCGAAGCATTAATTATATTTTTCCTCTGATTAATTTCATGAAGAAAATAGTTGTTACATAATTTTTTACTGCCAGTCTCACTAAAACTATCAACACTGCTGGTCTCTAGTTCTTTTGAAATTTCTCTATCCTTCTTACACTCTAACTGTTCTTTAGAACTGTGAATAGAAAGCATTTGATTATTGTAATCGGGTGATACTGGTTTGGTAACGACAACTGAATCACCTTGTGAAACAGGGAACTCTGTGGATGCAGTAATCTTCTTTTCAGCTTGGATAACAGGAATGTCCTTTGAAAAGTTGATTGACATTAGGTTGTCTGATATTGGCTCCAAAGGCTTTATTTCTGAAGTTTTGCTTGTTTTCTCAACTACCATGTTAGTTGCAGGAGAGCTAGGAGATGATGATACAGGTGATATAAATTTGGTATCAAAGTAGCTTCCATTAGTCAAGTCTGCTTGACTTGGTTTGCCAATTCCATGTGCTTTAAACTTGTGTTTTTTGAGGAAATATTTATTACAAAACTCTTTCTGACAGAATTCACAGTAGGCCTCAATATTCATTATACCCTGAGAAGAAGTTGATATAGTTGTAGAGGGTTTCAGTAACATATGAGGAGGTAGAGATAATTCATTACCCAAACTTCGAGCAAAGAGGGTACCTCCATAATGACAGCTGGGTATTAAATCAGCAGAATAAATTCCATGTTTATTAGCCTTATGTGTCTTCAGGAAATACTTGTTACAGAACTCCTTTTGGCAAATGTCACAAAAAGCTTCTTGATTGAAAATTCTGATACCTGTAGAACCTAAATTCCCATTGCTCATATCAATGGTTGTATTTTGTCCCTGAGTCTGAGGTAGAACTGGAAAGAAAAATGGATTAATTGGATTTTGAAACACAGTCAGTGCACTATTAGGTAACTTATTTGGCATACTGACTTCAGCATGAGAAATAGGTATCAGAGGTGGAATTCTTGAGAAAGGTATTAATGAATCTTTACTTAAATTATTGTTTTCTTGAGCAGAGCTAGCAGCAGTGCCTAAAGGGTAAAAAAATATTTTCAAAATTTTTAAGAGAGGAAAAAGTTGTAGTTTCTGAATAATTAGTTCTTTGACAACTAAGTGATATAGTTTTTTCTGGTTCCTTATAAATATTGATGTTGCTCAGTTCCTTAGGATGAGCACTAGTATTATGAAAATGCAAAGACTCTTTTGTCTCAAAATTCTGACTGCAATGGAAGCATTTCAATTCCATTTTTTCCTCTAGTGGTTCATTTATTGAAATGGGAAAATCTCTTTTTTCCTTTACTTTTAAAGTGTCTTCACTTGAATAATCTATCATATTTTCATCTCTTATAACAGTTGTTGGGCATTTAACTGGATTGCTCTGTTTGCGTCTTTTCTTAAGTTTTGGTCCTTCTTCATTACTCGTACTTTCTGTTGGTGGTTCCAAGCTAGTGAAATCATCATCATCTTCTGAGACTCCATGAATGTCTTCTTCTGAATCTCTATTACCATTTACAAATATTTCCTGAATATCCAATGTATTGTTGGTAATGATATCAGAATTTTCTATTTCAAAAAGTTCCTTTGGGTTCATTCTTATGTTTAGGAAACTAAATTCTTAGGAATATGTTTTTCATCAAAAGTTTCTTTTATCTTAATTTTCAAGAAAATTATAATCCATGAGCTTCAACACAGTATCTTCTTTGAAACCCTGTAAGAAATGTTAATATTTTAAGTTAAACTTCAAACATAACTATTTTCCCAATTATAGCTGATTATGAGTAGCTAATAGAATAATATTTTCTGAAAGTCCTTTAGTTTTTATTGTAATATTTATCATCTATAATATCATCAATTAAAGGTAAATTTCCATAAACCACATCTGAAGTTAGTAGTAAATATTTTACAATAATCATATTTAAATAATTTCATATCTTGCAGCTGTTTAGACTGAAATACAACAAAGATTTTATGTAATTTTAAATGCTGAAGATATTGTGATTTGAACTTGGCTTCGTGCTAAACTATAAGAAGACATTTTCCAAAAATATACAAAATATATAAACAATGCAAGCATAAAAACCATCATTTATAAGCAAAATAAAGCAATTACAGCTGCATGCTATGCAAGAAAATCTTACAATGTGAAAGGAAGCTCTTCTGAAATACAACACCACAAGTTGTACAGCATTTAAAACATGTTAAACAAAACTATAAGAAATATGCATCAAAATTTCAAGTGGATAAAGTTCTACTCTAACACATTTGCAAGTTGTACAAGAGTTGCATACATTGTACACTCTGTATTTCATCTTGAAGATTGAATTTTAGGTCAATTTTATTAAACACACAAGACACCATACAAAAAATGTACGTAGATCCTACACCAAACTGTAAGTGCACACTGGTATTTACAACTCTCCTTTATTTATTTATTTTCCTCCTATCTAGATTAGAATGAAAAATACATACTAACATTATTCACAACAAAGATAGCTACTGTTTATAAAGTAAAAATAAAAATAAAATAAAAAACCTTAATAACTTTGTAAAAACTAGAATTATTACAAATTAATATATATATATATATATATATATATATACAAAGTAATTCTGAATGACTGTAAGTTTCTAAATCATATATACTTTGCAAGTAAGAATATATTTAACATATTCAGTGCATTCTGTTTTCAACTCTTGCTTTCATAACAAATCTATAAAATTGAATGTTTAATAAAAGCTAATACATGCATTTTAATTATGTAAGTTCATTAATATATTACATATGTGCAATAAGACATCCATCTACATGTATCCCTCATATGAATTACAAATAAAACAAAAGAAAATGCATGCACGAATAATGATAAACTGTTTTACTGTCACATAATTTAGATTACTTGTGGCACTAGAGTATTCATATATACACAAACACATACATTATACACATATATATCACATCGTTATGTCACCATGCATAACAGTTCTATTTAAATACAACAAACACTAAATGTTCTGATTTTTCTTTTACAATATACCTTGCAGTAGTCTCAGAAGTTTAAGCTCTGAGTACTTTCTCTTAAATAAGTTTCTTAAATGAACTTATTAATACAAAGTTGCCAGTCCTCTGAGTTCTATATCAATTATAATCCTCATGAAAGCTCAATATTTAATGTCTAGTGTGTATAAAAGAGAGCTACATAATTTACTTTTATTTTCTCAGTTATGTAGTTATTCTTATTTGTTTTACCAATATTACCAATCTATGTTGAAATGTATTTTTGTATTATTTGTGCATGTTAATGGCTACTAAATTTCCAGTTCTTTTATTAACTACTTATTTTAGAAAGAGATTTTTTCACAAACACTAACACAGAATTTTAAAGAGCTTCTTGCATGGTTTGACTACTAAAATACGGAAGAGAAGCAAGGAAAAGCGACATATACTCCTGCTTATGGTCTTTACATATTTGAAAGATATTTACTGATACTTCCCGTATGATTATTTTATTATTTTATATGTTTTTGTTTGTTTGTTTCCTTCATCTTATAAAATTACTCACATGAATTAATTTGTAAACAATGATTCCCGTTGATAAAGCATATTGCGCAATTTTTCTATAAATTATAATATGGACAAACACGCACCATAGTTAAACTTCATAGTTTTTCTAGTTGAATGATTTGTTAATGTTAATTTCATTGTACAGCTGAAATTGCAGTTACACTGTTTTTGAAATGAAACAGTAATATATATATACCATAAGTTATATATTTCTATATATATATATATATATATATATATA